CGACAACGCCCCCGTCTTCCGATTACCGCCCCCAGTCCTCCGGGCCACCCCGACAACCCCACCCCACGCCCGGTCCTCCCCCTCACCTGCGGTAGTTCTCAAAGCTCTCCTTGAGGCGCCTCCGCTCCTTCTCCGGAGGCTCCCCACTGCTGGGGCCCGTGTCCTGCAAAACGGACGGGGCTTGCAGCTGGATCCCGTGGCTCTGGGACTACAGCAGTATGGCCTGCTGCGCTCGGAGGTGACTGAGCATGGGGGGTACTAGCCCTTCTGCCAGGATGGCTGAGGGGACTCCCTTGTAGTAAACAAGGACGCTGAATTCCCAGTCACGGTGGACAACACATTGTTGCTAAGGTTCCCCGGAAGCCAGAACATGACTGCCCTCCCCCACCTCTGCGTCCACCTGCCCCAAGTCTAGGGCTCTGTCCAGGAAGAGGAATTCCATTTCACGTCCGTAACCTACCCAAGCGTGTGTATGCACATGCACGTGTGTGCACACTCCTCCACTGCCAAGGCCTTGTAATCCCCAGCTGTCCCCGGGTTCAGTGGGGTCACTCTGATCCCTAAGGTTATCAGGGGCTGCAGGGACCCCAGGTGGCCTTACATGTGTCTGTGAAAGCTGTTCCTTGCGCAGAGCCAAGAAAGGCTGCTCTGGGCTCTCCCTGTCCACCAGGCCACCTGGAAGCAAGAGCCATTGGTGCTTGTGGGCTCTACCACCAGTAGGGCCACACCCCACATGGCCACCACCTCCTTCTGCCTACTGCCCAGCCAGCAGTATCCCATGCCAGCATTACAGGCTTTTGTGGGGTGGCCTCACATTGAGTGTGGTGTAGACTGCATTCTACAGACAGGGATAGGCTAAGCCCTTTCTTGCCAGGAGGAGGCCTCAGTGGGACAGGCTGCTGGACACCAGCACCGTCCAGTGCTCCCTACCAGCTGGCTGTCCCCAAGCATACTAGGATGGATGGGGGGGAGGGACTCCTGGGCCCCAAAACAGTTTGCCCATGCATGTATGTACCAATCCATGTCCCTGGTTGTATGCCAACATTTTTTTGTGCCTTGTGGGTCCCATGGAAGGGGTGGGGACAGCCTTAATGGAGGACCCAGGGCCTCTGGAGGTGAGGGTAAACACACTGCAGTGATTTAGAAGAGCTTTCCAGGTGATCAGACCCTTCCAACATGTACCAGCACCTGGGCAGACCAGGCCACTCAGGCCCCCAAGCAGAAGGTGCCCAGGAGCATGAGCTAGGCACTCCAAGCCACAGCTGCATCCTGGGGGAGGAGCCAGCCCAGAGTGTCCAGGAACCCAGTAGCCCCCCACCCCCATTTTCATGCCTCACTCCTGGCACACCCGCCAAGGATCCGCCCACACGGAGCTCAGTGTCTCAAGTTGGGTCTTAAGTTGGGTCTTGGGGGCTGTGGTGGGCAACCCACCTCCACAGTTCTCCATCCGTACCACTTGTTCCCCTTTTGCCTTTGCTTAGAGGCTGGGGTCAGGCTGAGCTGAGGAAGTCTGTCTCAACTTCTCACGAAAGCTCCAGGGCCCCTCCCTATACCAGGCTCTCCACCTCCCACCTGATGCCTCCCACTCCTCAACCTCCAGGCAGCCTACTGGACATTCTATTCTGACCAGCTCCCCTAACTCCCATCTCCAAGTTGGCACAGGAGGATCCTGCCTGGCAGCCCACCCCTATGGACAGGACACAGCCCTCCTCTCTCACTGCTGCCCTATCCGTAGGCCTGTCCCTTACTTGCTCACTGGACACTGGCTCACTGTTACCTCCGTCCTAAGGAGAAAGCTTGGAAGGGGAAGATGGGCCTGGGTAGGGTGGGGGTTCCACACTCACCTCTTAGCCATAGACCAAGCCCCAGGTTCCAGTCACAGTCTCTCCTTGTTCATTGGGTGTCCTTGCCCTGATAATAGCCCTTCACACACACACATGCACGCACGCACATGTGTGCGTGTGCATCGTGAATACTGATGAAGCAGGCAGTCACACAGCTGTGTGTGCTGAGGACCAGCCAGGGTTCAGAGAGGCCAGGAGGCCACAGCCCAGGTGCCTCTGGGCTGGGGGAGGCTTCCTGGCAGTGTAGGGTACCCCATCTCCTCACCTTTGTCTGAGAGCTGGGCATCCTCCTCCAGGTCCTGGGGCAGTGAGAGCTTCCAGACAGAGACATGCCACCCAGTTAGGCCATGCTGCAAGCCACCACTGCCCATCCCAGGACTGGACCTAGCCCGCCCCACTGTCCACTGGACTCCTGTGCCTCAGCTGGCACAGCATCTCCTTCACCCCCTACACAAAGCTCTTCAGGGACTATGCTAGGCCAATAAGGTAAGGGGAACCCAGGCATGAAGCCCCCCACCCTGAGACCAGGATGTGGGTACTGCCCTTGCCTCTTGCCCCACATGCAGATGGAGGCCTGGGTCAACACCCTGGCCAGCACTCTGCCTTTTTTTAGCCCAGGGTAGGGTAGAAGGAACAGCCCAGCTCAGAACAGGACCCTGTGGGAGATGAGTGTGGGTTCTGGTGAAGGTTGGGGAACCAGGGAGAGGCCCACCCTGTGCCCACCTTTGGGTCACACTTACCTCCTGGGAGTTTCTGGGTGAACTGTCCTCTAGGTCAGAGCTCTGTGGGCATAGAAAGGGGAGTTGGTCAGTGGGCTGTAGGGGTTCCAAGCCACTTGAGTGTGGCTACTCCTTGGCCAAGGCCTCTGTCCAGCAGTCCTGTGTGCTGCCTGGACCTTGAGTTATACCAACAGCCCTCACCACACCATGAGGAGCCACAGAGGAAGTTACAGGAAAGCCCAGGCACCTGCGGAGGCTCCTAGCAGGGCGCTGGCCATTCCAGGCTAGGACTGGGGATGCCCCAAGGCTGCGTCACCCCCTCGGGATGGGCATGGCCCACCCAGCTCCCTCTCTGCCCAGACTACTGCAGACGGGGCTGACATGAGGCCCACCAGGATGAGTGCGTCCAGATGCTGCTGCTTGAGTCTGCCCTCAGCAGCCAGCAGCCGGCCCTCACTCTGGAACAGCTGCAGCTGCAGCTCATCCGCCTTCTCCCCCAGCTCTCGGATGTGTTTGCGCAGCTCGTCTTTCTCCTGAAAGCTCCGGGCACACTGTGCGTGCAGCTCTTCCCGGGAGGACATGGCCTGCAGGAATAGTGGAGGGGACACCTCAGCAGGGGGCCTGACCGGAGGCGCACTGTCCCCAACCTCCACTGGAGCACCTGGCTGGGTTCCAGCTGCCCTCCTCTGTCGCTAGAAGTGCTGAAGCAGGGCTCCTGGTGTGGTGGTGCTGTTTGTGCTGGGTGGAGTGGCACATGCCTATCATCCCAGCATTTGGGAGACAGGATCAGGAGCCAATGATCATGTTTGGCTACATAGTGAGTTTGAGGTCAGACTGGGCTACACAAAACACAAAAAAAGAAAAGAAAAAACCAGCCCAAAGAAACAACTAAAAATATCCATGTTTAATACTCAGGAGAGTTCCTAGGGCCCCATGTCCTAAGAAGTGCTCCATCCCCGTGGACAGTCAGCATGTACCTGTGTCCCACTGGCACGTGGTGTGTGTGTGCGTGTGTGTTTTGTAAATTCTGGATACAGGTTAACATTAAGAACATGATTGATGGGGCCGGGCATGGTGGCGCATGCCTTTAATCCCAGCACTTGGGAGGCAGAGGCAGGCGGATCTCTGTGAGTTTGAGGCCAGCCTGGTCTACATAGCGAGTTCCAGGTCAGCTGGGGCTACAGGGAGACCCTGTCTCAAAAAGACCAAAAAATAAATAAATAAAAAGAACATGATTGAGGGGCTGGAGAGATGGCTCAGCGATTAAGAGCACTGACTACTCTTACAGAGGACCTGCGTTCAATTCCCAGCACCCACATGGCAGCTACGAACCGTCCTTAACTCCAGTTCCAGGAGAATCCGAAGCCCTCTTCTGACCTCCACAGGCATTGCACAACACGGGTGCACGCATACACATAAAAATAATAAAAAATTTAAAAAAAAGATGTGTGTTGTTCTTATTTTTATCTTAAATGATCAACTCTATTCATCAAACCAACCTCATTATCAATACCATGATCGCTTTGAACCGTCTTGAGTATGACATTCATTTTTATTTTTATTTTTATTTTATGGTCAGCCACCATGTGGGTGCTGGGAAGCAAACCCAGGTCCTCTGCAAGAGCAGCCAGTGCTCTTACCCACTGAGCATCTCTCCAGGAGGATTTATTTTTGTACCTGTCTTTTGTGTTTTGGTTCACCAGTTCAACAAACAGAAAAGTCCTATCAGCCAGCTCCCTCCACCATTTTTTTTTATGTGTGTGTGTGTGTGTGTGTGTGTGTATTGCCTGCATGGATGTAACTGCACCCGCGTCTCATGCAATGCCCATGGAGGTCAGAAGAAGCTGTCGGATCCCCTGGGACTGGAGTTACAGACAGTTGTTAGCTGCCATGTGGGTGCTGGGATTTGAACCCAGGTCTTCTGCAAGAATAACTAGTGTTCTTAACCGCTGAGCCATCTCTCCAGCCCCATCCACTCTGTTTTTTAAGAATCTCATGGATCCCAGGCTGGCCTCAAACTCACTAGCTGAGGCATGACCTTGAATTAACCCTCCGGTCTCCACAGCTCCTGGGTGCCGGGACTACAGGTATATGCCACCCACACCTGGCTCAACTGCTTTTTTTTCTTTTTACAGGGTCTTGCACTATAGTCCACGCTGGTCTAGAACTCACTTTGATGTGCTGGTCTTGAATTCACAGTAGCGAGCTGCTACTTCCTGCACCAGAGAGCCATCACCAGCTCCCAGTCCACAGCCACAGCAGCTGCATGCACAGCTCCCTCTCCCCTGCAGAGGTCTCCCACCCTGGCCTGCCTGGAGCCCTACCCAGTAAGGGCCAAAGGGAGCCCCAACTGCGCAAGCCCGGTGCCTCAGCCTCGCTCTCTGAGGCAGTCTCTCTTCAAGTGGCTTCCAGGTGCTGGTGTCAAGGATGCTGATCCACACTGCTGATTACCTCCAGGGTGGGCTGAAGCAGCAATGGTACCAGTTTTAGTGATCTGCGAAACAGGCCGAAACAGCCCTTCACAGAGACACCTGGTCCCAACATAAGAATTCCGCCAGCTCTTTTAAGTGTTTAGAACAAGACATAGAAAGCTTCCATTCTCATAAAAACAAGATGGAGAAAATGAAGCTGTCCATGTGCAGCACTGAAGAACGTCTGTAGCAAGGGCTGCAGGGAACTGGAGGGAACTGGAGGGGACTGGAGGGAACTGGAGGGAACTGGAGGGGACTGGAGGGAACTGGAGGGGACTGGAGGGGACTGGAGGGAACTGGAGGGGACTGGAGGGGACTGGAGGGAACTGGAGGGGACTGGAGGGGACTGGAGGGAACTGGAGGGAACTGGAGGGGACTGGAGGGGACTGGAGGCAGGAGCAGAGCCCGGGGGGCAGGACTGGGGGTGAAGAAGGTCGTAGCCTCCTCACTGTTTGTATTTTTAAATATTTTTATTATTTTTATGTGTATGTGTGCAATGCCTGCATGTATGTCAGTGCGCCTGCGTCGTTGCGCCTGCGTCGTGCAGTGCCCTTGGAGGTCAGAAGGTGTCAGATTCTCTGGAACTGGAGTTACAGATGGTTGTTAGCCATCATGTGGGTGCTGGGAACCAAACCCAGGTCCTCCGGACGAGCGGCCAGTGCTCTTAACCACTGAGCCATCTCTCCAGCCTGTTTGTGTTTTTAGAATGAGCTTGTATTACTTTTGTCATTTGAAAATGCTTTGATGGGCTGGGGAGATGGCTTAGTGGGTAAAGTGCTGGCCATTCAAATGTGCAGACTTGAGTTCAAATTCCTCAAACCCACAGAAAGCTGGCACAGTAGCTAGCACCCATCTCTAATCCCCATGCTCATACGGCAAGATGAGAAGCAGAGACGGGAGAAGCCCTGGAACTCTACTAGCCTGGCCTATGCCGGGATGAACAACCAAGATGTCCCGGTTCAGACAAGGTGGGAGCTGAGGGCTCACACCGGGCTGTCTCTGACCTCCACACACATACAATGGAATGGGGGTACTTGGACTCACACACATGAAGAAAGATCATACATATGTACCTACACATACACAAAAATAAAACTGACCACTGCTCCAAGCCTGCTGCCGGCACACCCACACAGGAGATCAACCCCTCTGTTCCCACCCTCTGAACACATGTGGCACCCACCTGGTCCCGCTCAATGGCAAGCTCCTCCATCTGCTGCAAGATGGCCTCGATGCGGTCCTTGTACATCTTGGAGTCCTTACGCAAGGCCAGGCACTGCAGCTCGAACATCTCCTTCTCCTCCGTGCACTGTGGGAAGCAACCACTCAGCCTTAACCTCGTTCTGCCACCTGGCCCCCGGGCTGGAAACAGTGATGGCTCGGGAGCACCCATGATCAGGACATCTGGGATTGGCGGGGGTGGGGGGCACAGAAACTGGTAGCCCAGCAGGCTAGGCTGCTCAGATCCCATGACCACAGCCACCACGGGCCACACTCTATGCCCGAAGGATGAAGACACTGTTGGGCACGAGACGGCTATGTACCAAACTGGGAGGAGGAGACACTGAGCCTGGTTCAGACTCCACGGGCCAGGTTCCCGGTGGACGTCAGACTCCACGGGCCGGGTTCCGGGTGGACGTCACACTCCACGGGCCGGGTTCCCGGTGGACGTCAGACTCCACGGGCCGGGTTCCGGGTGGACGTCACACTCCACGGGCCGGGTTCCCGGTGGACGTCAGACTCCACGGGCCGGGTTCCGGGTGGACATTGTTGGTCTGCTCTCGTTTCTCACCCGGGCGCGGAGGGCCTCGGCTTGGCGGAGGTCCTTGCGGAGGGAGAAGATGGTGCTGGCCTGCTCCTGGTGCTCCTGCAGCGCCTGGTGCCAGTCCTCCTCCAGTACTTGGATGTAGGGGCTGTTCTTGTTCGGTTTCCCCTCCTGAAGGTGGCAAAGGGCAATAGTGTGGCGGAGGAGGCCCACGATGCCCTGCCGGGCGCTGCCCACACCACCAAAGCCCCTGCAGCAGCTGCCCCGTCTGGGGCTCTAAGCCCCACCTGCACAGAGGCCTCCAGCTCCTGCACCCGGGCCTGCAGCAGAGCCTTTTCCTGTTGCAGCTCCCATAGCAGCTCCTGGCTGGGCCGCTGCTCCATGGCGTGCCTCAGCTTCAGGGTGTGTTTGCGTTCCACCTTGCAGTCATCCTCTGCCTTCATGAGGCTGTGCCTGAGCCGGTCCACCTATGGGCAGGCAGCCAGTCAGCTGCAGGCTCCTCCAGGTCACCCTCCCTCTGGTTCCCACTGCGGGACAGTCACCTCAAGCTGCAGGTCACGGTTCCGCATGAGCGCTGCGCCCTTCTCTTCGCTCAGGTGTGCCAGGCGCATGGCCAGGTCGTAGTTTTCATCCTTGCATCGCTTCAGCTCCCGGCTGCTCAGCTCGGACTCCTCCTTGAGCCGCTGCACACGCTCCTGGTGCTTGCGGAGCAGGCTGTCCTTCACGCGCAGCTCCTTGATGAAGTCATCCTTGGAGCTCAGCAGTGCCGTCAGGTCCTGCACTTTCTTCTGCAGCTTCATGACCTCGGTCATCAGCAGCTGCGTCAGGCCTGACTCCCCTGATGCATCTGGGGACCCAGCAGTGTCATGTGGAGCCTGTGGCTGTCTCCTGCAGAGCCCGGTGCCACCACAGCCAGGCCTTGGCCTCATTTAGCCTTGTGAGCTTGAGGACCAGAAGCTTGAGTGGCAGAGAGAGCACTGCTGGCCTCCCACAGATTTTGTCTGTGGGAAGGCTCCCTTCCTCGGGGTGAATGTGCTCACCAGGTCCAGTCTGCCTCGCTGCTCCTCACAGACTCACTATATAGACCATGCTGGCCTTGAACTCATAGAGATCCACTTGCCCCAGCCTCCCAGTCCTGGCCTCAAAGGTGTGCGACACCACGTCCAGCCTTGGACTGAGATTCTAACTCCCCACCCAGGGCCATTTCCATGTCAGGACTCCTGCTGGCCCTGTCTACTTTTATTTCTTTTATTTATTTATTTATTTATTTACTTATTTATTTATTTATTCATTTATTTATTATTTATTTTTGGTCTTTTTTGAGTGCTGGGATTAAAGGTGTGCGCCACCACACCCAGCTTTTAAAAAAATATTTTATCTTCCTTTAGGAACAGTAGGTCCAGCCCCCTTGTGTTCTGTAGCACCATTTTAGCTAGGGAGTTGAGTTAACCTGTCTCTCCAACTGCCTGGAGTCCTGTAGATGTCCGATGTCTGTGTCTATCTGAGAGCTTAGATGCCTAAAATTTTTATTACCCATGGCTAGGGTGGCGACACCCAGGGCAGCAGAGCCCGCAACGCCTGTTTTCACAAGGACTTCTCTTGACCCTTGAGAGACCTGGGTTGAGGTGAAGTGCTTCCGCCCTTTCTCTCTGCTATAGAGATAAACCTATAGAAACCTATAGAAACCTCATATGCGCATGTCTCCATGGTGAGAGTCCCATTCTAGCTGTTCTGTAGACACACCCTTCAGTAAGATTGAAGGTACGTGCCCATCAGGTGGTTTCAGGGGTTATATGTTGCTCTAATATTACCTCCCCCCAAGATGTAACCTTTAAAATTTAGGGATTAGACAACAGTTTTCAAATACTTTGGACGTTTCTGGACTCTGATACAGACCAGGCTGCTAAGGGGCCCAAGGACATTGTGACTTCTAGCCAAGGAAGAAACTGGCTACTTTTCTTTGGGGTCTTTTCACCCTGACTGCGAGTTAATTCCTGCCTCCTAGTCTCATCACACCACCCTCTGAAGAGGTTACCAATGGCTCATGCATGGCCTTGAGTGAGGTCTGCTGTTTTTACGCCAATAATTCTGGTGTAATTGAGTTTTCCTGGGTCTCTGGTAATACTCCTCTAGCCTTTACGGTGAGTCCAAGCCTCCTAAAACGTCTCACTGGATAGAGCAAGAGGCATCCAAATGCCTCAAAATTATGGTCCTAAGGACCCAATAGGAGCTTCAAAATCAAAACAAGTCAAAGATTTGAGTTATGTCCTAGAGCTAGTGGGGAATGTAATACCCTGAGCCCCTCCATTTTGTGTAAGTTTAACTGGTCAATCACCTGGTCATAGGACCACCCCCAGGAAGGCAGGCCATGCTAACTAGATGGGTGGAACACCTAGTGCGTTAATGAGATAGCCAGTTTTTCCGGCCTGGAATCCCGCCTACTGGCGCAGAACTTTGGTGGAGCCGCAATCCTGTAGGTCTCTGTGAGCCTGTCCACCCTTCTGAAAGGCATAATTTCTCCTTTTCTTCTTCGTGCCTTTCTTTAAGGCTCTGGGCTGCCCCTAGCATCATGTAGTTCTTTACTTTAAGTCTTCCTTCTCCCAGCCATGTGGCTGCCAGTCAGCCATGCGTCTGACCCCCACGTCGTGTCCCCTCCATTCTCCTCCTCAAGGCAACTGCCAAGATTACTAGCTCTCCTGCTCTGAGGATTTTTAAAATTCAAATAAAATTGTAAAAGCTTAAAAAATTATCTATTATTTTTATTTTATGTGTATGAGTGTATTGCCTGCATGTATGTAAGTGCATTGGTGTTATGAAATGCCCAAGGAAGTCAGAAGAGGGTGTTGGATCCCCTGGAACTAGAGTTACGGACAGTTGTTAGTCACCATGTGGTGCTGGGAGTCGAACCCGGGTCCTCTGCAAGAGCAGCCAGTGCTCTTAGCCGCTGAGCCGTCTCTCCAGCCCCTGCCCTGTCTACTTTTTTGTTGTTGTTTTGGTCTTTTTTGAGACAGGGTCTCCCTGTAGCCCCAGCTGTCCTGAACTCACTATGTAGACCAGGCTGGCCTTGAACTCACAGAGCTCCGCCTGCCTCTGCCTCCAGAGTGCTGGGACTAAAGGTGTACGCCACCACGAGTGGCCTCTGTCCACTTTTATAAAGACCCTCATGAGATGAATGAGAACCAAGAAGGTTACGGCTGGCCCCTCAGGAGCACACCTTACCCTGGTCGAACTATAGGAATCTGCTCTTGAGTGAAAACTAGGTCCTGTGGATGGGACTTTGGAGGAACCACTGCTTCTCAGTGAACATTCACAGGCTGGAAATGGGAAAGGGAGGAGAAAGTGCTCCCCTCCAGGAGGCCAGCAGGACCTCAGCAACCCAGAGAGCCCAGCCCCTGAGCACCCAAAAGTAGCCACCAGGGACCACTCCCCAGCACATACCATGCGCACCAGACTCCGTGCACACAGGACTTGTACCACTTTCCTTCACCTCCAGTACATCCCTGACCCCACCCCCAGTGCAGACCCTGGTTCTGACCCTCCCCATCTTAGCACCAGTCCCCCATGTTCATGCCTCTCACCGATGATCATGGAGAAGACCCGTGTGGGCTCCTTGCCCGTGACCTTCCTGTACAGCTGTGGGTAGTACAGCTCCAGGCTCTCAAGGAAGGCCACATAGCCCTTGTGGCCTGTTCGCTGCAGGATGTCCAGGAGCACACCTACAGGTAGAAGAGGCAAGGTCAGGGCCAAGGTCTGGGCAGGTGGAAGCCCAAGAGGGCTGGCCACAGTGGGCATGTGTTCTGGATAGGGAGCCCAGGCTGTGGAGGCCCCACCCCTCACCCCAGGGGCCCTGCTGAGCAGAAGGGTTGTGATCACTGAATGAGGCACCTTTGCAGATCTCAGTCTAGGGGGACCAAACCAGGTGCTGCCTCCATTCCCATGGCTCTCAGGGGCCTGGGCAGTGGTGGGACGCCCTTCCCCTCCTCTGGGCAGCAGCAGGCAGCTATAGGGGGCCATTCACATACTCTGCATGAAGGTTGGGCCAGGTAGGGTCAAGGCCAGGGCAGCAGAGCATATAGCAGCCTCTGGGCCAGTGTCTTGGGGGAGCCTGAGGGCCCAGGGCCTGCTGATATGGAAGCAGCACTCACCCACTTTCCGCTTACGGATGACCAGGTTGGGGTCACTGAGCACCTGTTCCTCGTCGTCTGGGTTCAGGACCTTGCACTGCCGCAGATAGGGTGTGATGCGTGAGGGGTCAATGACAGAGATGAGCTTCACCCGGAAGCTCTCCAGGGCACTCCAGCACTCGTCCTCATTCTCATAGTCTGACATGTCCTCCGCAGGCCGTGGCTACTGTTGGAGTGGGTGACTGAGAAGGTGTTCCGCCTCTGCTCCCTGCTGCCTCTGCGGCACTCAGCCCACACCAAGGCTCACACCTGCGAGTGCCGGGCCAGGGCTCTGGACAAGGACACAAGGGACTCATCCCACGGACATCGGAGGAGGGCTGGGCCTCAAGCCTCCGGCTCCATGGCCAGTTTCCAAGGGACAGTAGAGGCATAGTGGCCTCACCCTGCCAGCTTCACCTTCCCCAAGCGGCTGCCTTACCCCTCTGCCCCCTCGGGTCTTCCTCCTGAACCACCTGGACACGTCAGGGAAGGGACAGGCGGGGGTCTAAGAAAGTACTCTCTCTGGCCTCTGCTCCCAGAGACCCCAAAGTGTCCTGGTGCCACGAACGTGGCTACCGCCTAGCTCCCCCAGGTACGTGAATGATGGGAGGAGCTTTCCCTCTGGTGGCCAGACTGCAAGGCACCTCCTTGTATGGCTGTGTGGCTGTGGACTCTGGCTGGCTGGTGTCCACGCCGGAGTGATGGGCAGGTTGGCTGGGGGCCTCCCCCACTGCCAGGGAGTTAAGCTTGTGTGTGACTTCCTCATTCTCTGACAGGCCTCATGTCCTTCCATCTTTCCTTCTCGGCCAGCCAGTGATGCAACAGCCCTCTGGCAGCTGCCTGTATCACTGTGCTATTCTGGGAGGGCAAGTGAGGAACAGCCATCAGAGCATGTCTGTCACCCTGCCCAACTGGGGCACACTGCAAAAGGCAGCCAGTGTCAACTAGTTCCAGAAAGCTGTTGTGGCTTTTCGCTTGAGTCCTCAGGTGCTGGGTACCAGCAAATTCGATGCTTTTCTGCCTCGGATGAGCCCTGACCTGTGGACTACACGCCGGGGATCGACTATATCAGCTCCACCCAAGGGGACCACTCACATTGGGACTAACCACTGCTTCTACCAATGACAGATGGAAACTCAACCAGTGACTTCACTGGCTCTGGGACTGGGCTAAGGTGGCCACAGAGCCTGACCCAGTCCCCTACCCCTAAGCTCCTCTGGGTTAGATCATAGGCTGCAGAGATGGCCATGGTAGGCTTTCTTTCCTGAGGAGTTATCTTGCACCATTCATCTGGTAACCCAGTGGGCAGGTCTCAGAAAGCTGGACCCACTGCCTATAGCCACATGGTCCCCACGCTAGAATCTCACCATGAACATCCCTGCAGTGAACAAGGATCAACTAAGCGAAGGGATGGGCAGAACAGAGAAGGCCGCCTGGCCGTGGGCACTTACTGCTGCTCTGGGGCACATCCTTCAGGATCCCCAGAGTTGCCATGGGCCTCCAGCCACCTTCCAGGAAGGGAACTCTAGCTGAGCTTACCTCTGGGTCTTGCAAGAGTCACCTGCCAGCCAGATACTGCCCAAGCTGCAGGCAGGCACACCAGGAGCCTGGGCCTTGGAGTGTGGAGATGCTCCCTGGCTGGAGGAGGGTGGAGCCACAAGGGAGGCTGTGTGGCTATGCACTTCCTGATGGGTTCTGGCTGACGCCACAGAGATGGCTAGGCCTCCCGCAGGGGGACAGTCCCTGATGGCCTGCCTTCTGATTGGCCCATCCAGGGGCACGAGAGAGGGAAGTGGAAGTACTCTGGGAGCAGAAGCCCTCCCTGCCTACCCATCTTCCCAGGACCAGGGTCCTGGGGCCACAGAGAATCGTGAACACCTAACATTGTAGAAGGGAGATTCAAGGCCTTCCTGGGGCTAGAGGCGGCTCTGGCCTAGACCCAGGCCTCTAAAGGTGGTTTTTTCAGCACGGTGCTCTGTACTTCACACCCTCACCACCTAGGATGGTAGTACAAGGTAAGGACAGCAGGTCATGGTCAGGCCTACAGGGTATAGGCAGGGCAGTTTAGCCTGAACCCTGAGCTCACAGGCTGCTGGCTATGCCAAGGTTGGCAGTCTGTTACATAGTACTCAGTAGAGATAGGGTACCTTCACATCTCTGTCAGTGAATCAGTCCACACTGCCTCCCTTTCTACCAGGATGCATGAGAGACTCAGAGCCAATCCAGGGGGCCTCAGAGCCAGTTCTAGTCACCAGGACAAAACATTGGTCAATGTCCACAGGCAACAGGCAGGCAGCAGAGTCCTCTACGGACTGTGAGCTTCAGTCTCTACCTCAGGGTGGCCTGTGGAGAGTCAGCCTGAGACGGGTGTGGACCTGCCAGCCTTGCCCAGCCAGTGTAGCTGGTTGACAGATGCTGCTAGTTAGGTTGAGGCAACAGTTTCCAGTGCAGCAGTGGAAGGCGGGAAGCTTGCACAGAGTCCCTTCCTCTGTGGCTTCCGGCCCTTCTGCTGGCTTCTGCAGGAGGACAGTGGCGCTGCCTCGTGCTTCCATGATCAGGCAGTTAAGAAGTCTTCCTGGGCCTTCCGGAAGCCACTACTGGGAGTCATGCCTTGCCTGGGCCTCCTGGGTGGCAAAGAGCAGGTTTATGTCTCTGCTGCTACCCTTGGAAGGGAGGCGCCAGGCCTTCACAGTCCAGTGTCCCGAGACAGTAAAAACACAGATCATGGTCCTTCTCATGGTGTTAATTAAAATGTCAAGCTCTCAGGCCATAAAACTGAGGTTGAAATCAGTAACAAAGATACCTGGAAAATTCCCAAGTGCTTGGAAATCAAGTGAGAAGTCTGTAATGCAGAGGTTAGAGGGAGTCACAAGACTGGATCCTGGATGCATGGTGTACCCTAATAGTGGACAACCACAGCTGGTGGTTATGTACACGACGGGTCATCTGCTGGGGTGGAAGGGTTGTCACTTGGGACAAACACTGAGACTGGACACATTTATCCTTTTACTGAGCTAGAAATTTCCCGCAGCAGAAAATGAAGCATGCCATGAGAACCAAACCCAGAGTCAAGGGCCTGGGACCCAACAGGGAGCTATGGTCACCAAAGCAGGGACTAAGAAGACAGAGAGGCAGGACCCGGCCAGGCTGGCTTGGCCCCATGCCAAAGAAATGCCTGTGAGAAAGGACTCGAGGAACAGAGCTGCTGCTGTGACTGCAGGGCCCCTCACTGGGGAGGTACATGCCAGAGATACAACCCATTTCCACAAATGGGCAAGTGCTGCTTCTCCATCTTCCTAGTCCCCTGGAAAGGTACTGGGTCCATGGGCAGCAGGGGCAGCTGAGGGTGGAGGAGGCTCTTAGGACTGGCAAGCACTCCACATCCCCAGTCAACTGTACCAGGGAAGTTTAGAAACTGGCTGGTGGGAGCTCTGGGTACCGGTACCTCAACACAACAAATGACAAAAGCCCAAGTCTTGCTTTTTGATTAAAAAATAGAACATTTACTTTATTCCTTCAAATATCTGGATCTGCACATGGGTCACAGGTACAGCTGTGACCACATGGCCACTGTTGTCAGAGCCCCTGCAGCCTGCTACAGGCAGAGTTCAGTCTGCAGGCAAGCAGCTCCCTGGTCTCTGTGCTTCCTCTTATAGGGGGCGCGGTGGGGTTCTGGTCAGTCCTGGGCCCTGCCTCTTGCCTGAACAGGAGTGGGCTTCTGGACCCCATGAGTCCTTGTCCTAAAACATAGGGACACTCTAACAATGGGGGCACCCCAACCCCAGCAGGTACCCCATACCGTACAGATGGTACTGCTGAGGGCCAGGGACCAAAGCTGGAACTGAGCTGAGTGGACAGGCACCACAGCCTACACAGGCGAAAGGGAACATTCTGGAGACCCTTATGGTCCCATCGCCTCTTTCCCTGGGACTCAGCTATGGTCCCCAGACTCTCTGCCTCTGACTGCGGACCTTGACCCCCTTGCATTTCATCTCAGCCATCACTGAGCTGTCCTGGCCCTGGGTCCCAACAGTAAAAGCGAGCTAGTTTGGGGTCTGTGGTTCAGGAGACTCCAGGTAACTATTCTGACAGGTGCGTGTGGTGGATGACCAGTGCTACCTCAGAAGAGCAGTCAGGGAGGGTGTTTCTGAGGATCTGACACCCCAGGGAAGGGAGGGGGTGAAACTCAGAGGGAGTAATGCCAAGGCCTGGAGGCACAACGGCCTATGTGGGACTTGGGGAAGGGGAAGAGGAATGCTCTAAGAGCACCTCCAGAAGCCTTGCCCTGCACCCACAGGCCTAGCCTCGCCCTAACACCACTACCCTTAGCTGGCCGGACGCTGCTGCTCTTCCTGGTTGTAGGGTGGCAACCAGTCCTCCTTAGGACTCACCTCGCTGTTCACAGCCGCCTCCGTTTCCGGGCATGCCGGGCATGCCGGGTCTGGAGCACATCAAGGTCGTCAGAAGCATCTGGGTGGGAGGGGGTAGAATCCTCACCAGGGCCTGGGGTTTCCTGAAATGAGCCAGGCCAGGAGAGACGAGTGACGTCCAGCCATGCGGTGCATAGAGTGAGGGGCAGATGGCTCTGAGGACGCTGCAACCCAGGCCCAACCCAAGCACAAGGGACAGGCAGCCACTGGAGCCTAGCTTCCCCGGGACAGGTATGTGCGAGGAGCTGGGTCCTGGCTTTCTACAGCCTTCCTAGCAGGTGGGGTTGCCAACCCTCTTTAGGCAAAACCATGGCAGACACTCCCATGTCCCTGAGGTAAGGTCCAGTGTGGGGGAAGATTCCCAGGCCACCTAAGGAAGGGAGTACGGCTGGGAGGCTGTGTCCACAGCCACAGGGGAAAGGAGGCCTTGCGAGGTTCCCTGGGAGTAGGCACATGGAAATGGCCCCACACATTTTGTTCCAGGGATCATATGGGAACTAGAATAGTCTTGCCAGCCCAATTCAAAGCAGTCTTTGTGAGCAAGAGAGGCCTGGGAGGAACTGCACCTACAGAGCAGGAACAAGGGCCACCACCTCGCTGAGCCCACAGCCTACCCCAGGGCACAAGTGCCCACAAGTGGGGACTGACACCTGAGACAGACCAGCCTCTCCACCCTGAGCTTGGGTGTGCAATGAGCATGTGGGGAGGGGCTGGGTCCCAGCAGCAGCCTCTCTTCTGTTACACCCAGCCCAGGAGAGGCAGCTTCTGCTAAACCCTTGTCCCTACCAGGCAGGCTGGACGAGCTTCCTCCTCCCTGAGAAACCCACAGCCAACTCCCTTGCATAACTTCCACCTGCCCAACTCACCACTCAGCCAGCCACACAGGCAGGCGGGACACCAGAGGGCCCTTGCCACAGGGAAGTGGGGTTGTAGTCCAGCACCCTTACCTGCATGGGGTCTGTGGCCACTGGGCTTGCTTGCATTCCACAGGCCATGCATTCCAGCTTCCTGGCCTTGTCCTTGGGCTCCAGGTCACCCATAAGGTCCTCACTGTCACTCTCAGAACTCACTGCTGTGGCTGATGACAGGGTGGTGGGGACACTGTTGGGGGGCAGAGTAGCCAGGAGTGCAGGAAGGGAGAAGACTGCCAAGAACCGTGTCTTCAGCAGGAGGTAGGCCGGATTGTCATGGAGCTGCCTCCGCACCAGCCCCAGTGAGGCCTGTAGGGCTCCAGCCGCCTTCCCATCCACTAGAGAGGACACCTTGTGCTCCAAGGCCTTCTTGTGGAGCAGGAGGTTGGACAGTGCTCGCAAGCTACACAGGGCAGGGGGCAGGTAAGGGAGTTTGGTCCCTAGTGGAGGCACACTAGCACCTTGGCAGCCCCTCAGCCAAGCCCTTATAGCTGCCTCGCTTTCCTGGGAAATCAGGTTGAGGTCCAGGGCCTTCTTTTCAGGCTCGGATGTGAGTGGCCTTTCCAAATCCTGAGGTCCTCTGGGCTCTGTACTGAAAGGAGGGTGTCCAGGGCACACAGGAGTCTTAGTAGGGGGCAGTGGCTGTCTCGCTGGCAGTTCAGTGGGGGGCGGTGGCTGTCTCGCTGGCAGTTCAGTGGGGGGCGGTGGCTGTCTTACTGGCGGTTCTGCGGGATCAGGGGTCTTCACTGGCTGGGGGAAGTTAACCACAGTTGCCACTGGCATGGGGAGTAGCTTCTGAGTTGTGAGCACCCAGCTAATGGGTAGCCTGGCCCCGGCTGCCAGGGGGTGCCCACCTGCTTGTGTTCCTAGAGCAGGCTGCAGGCTGAGGGGCTGCACAGGCAGCCGAGTGGGGCCGGGGGCTGCAGGGAAAAGGGGAAGGGCTTTGGGCAGGCTCTGTTTCTGGGATGTGGCAGGGGCCTGAGATTGCCCCAGAGTGCTCAGAGGACAAGTCACGGGGGCCTGCTCGGGGGCTGGGGCCAGGCTCCTGAAAGCAGCAGGGGCTGCAGCCTGGGTTCCTCTATGGAGAGGAGTTAGGGGCAGGGTTTGCAGGTTGAGGGGCTGCTTGTCCTTGGCTGAAGTCTCAGCTACCTGCCAGGAACCAGAAGGGCTTGAGCTGATTACCACAGGGGCCAGAGGCCCAGAGAGTTCCATATTGGAGGCAGCAGGACCTGCGACTGGGAGACCCTGTGGGGCTGGCAGCAGAGGGGCCTGGAGGAGCAGAGTTGAGGAGACCAGCAGCTGGCTGTTGAGGGCCTGGGTGGCCTTCCTGGCACGGGACTCGCGGAGCCGCTTCTCAAAAAGCAGTTCAGATACAGTCTTGGGCTTGGGCCGAGGGCCCTGTGGGGCTAGTGTGGGCACCGGAGAGGAGGTAGACTCAGTTCTGCAGGACCCTAGCCGTGGACGCCCTTTATGGCCGGCTCTCTTTACAGTGTGTTCAGCTGGCATGCTTGGGAAGAGGGAGCCTACAGGAGGAACAGACAACCACCTCTTAAGAACCCTAGGCCATCAGCAAGCCTGTGTGTAGGGCTCCAGCCCACTTCATGCCTCCCACCCAAGCCCAGGTGCTATTCACATCTAGGGCAGCAGGTGCAAAGGGCAGACCAGCCCACTTTTAACAAGCTGAGGGAGACCATTCCCTAAATGTCCTGCACCTTCAAAACCAGGTCTGTGGGGCTTTCCCCTCATGTGACACACAGTATTGTTCCTCAGGAACCCAGGCCCTCCCAGGTGTGCAGGCAAGGGACTGCCAGAAGCGGACAGCCCAAGCAGCCTCAGGCCTTTCTAGCCAGGTGGGATTCAAGGAGTCTGCTCCCAGGGCACAGGCTGTGCTGCCAGAGGCTGTGGAGCAACTGAACGGGCATTGTGAGAGGCAGAGTTGTGGCATGTCGGTACCTGTGGTGCTGTCAGCACTAGATGGCGCCTGCGAAAGGAGAAAGATCACAGTCAGCTTGCAGGAGTCGTCACTGGGCGCATCACGTGTCTCCACCCAGCCCACCCTCTGCCACTCCCATCTCTGCACTGAGCTCAGGGTCCTGTGAAAACCTGCTGGGGAGCTACAGCTTCACCCAAAGGCTGCCTGGCCAGAGCTCTTCTGCACTGTCAGTGCAGTGTGAGGCCTGTGGGCTTTGGGCACCAGAGCTCTATTTTGGTTCAATGTCCCTCCAGGTGACAGACCTCCCCTGTCTGGGAGGGGAGCTCCTGACTTTGGCTCCTAGAGCAAATGGTGCTGTTGATCCAACCTCTGCCTGAGCAGGTGTCCTGGGGGAGACCCAGGCTTGCAGCCAGGCAGGCCTTACGCAACTGGCACCTGCCTCACTTGCTACCAGGCCTCCCATCGGGCTGCATGTACAGCTGCCTCCCTGGAGAAAGGATGGTGGGGCCTGTTCTTGGGGACAGAGCCCCATTCTTTTATGGAAACGTCTGGGAATCGTCCCTTAGAGGAAGGGCAGAGACAGCAAGGCTGTGTCACAGTGGGGTGGGGAGCACTTGTCCTCATTCTTGTCTTTAGTACTTGCTACCTGCTGAAGATGTGGCTGGGGGCCCTGGGTGCCAGGCTGGTGTGCAGTGGGTGGCTGGGTCTTCCTCTCTCGAACCACCTCCATGCAGCCAGCAGTGTCAATCTGCAACAGCTGAGAGATGTGAAGGTGAGTGCCTCCTGCCCTGGCTGCACGGGGCCAGGCCCACAGGTGGTCAAGGAACTGAGTGTGGCCCTGACCATGGCTGCTCCAGAAGGTCCAAACCCCCAAAGGCTTTGGCTGGCCCAGGGATACCATGAGGGCATCCCAGCCTCCAGATTGGACTTGGGTTCCCAGGCTACACCAGTCCATGGGGAAGTCTATGCTGGTCTTCCCTCTCTTCCTTTCATACTTTTAAAAACATTTTACTTTATGATATGAATGTTTTGCTTGCACCTGCAGAGGCCAGAAGACCGTGTTAGATTCCTTAGAACTAGAGTTGTAGATGGCTGCAGGCTGCCATGTGGCTGCTGGGAACCAAACCTAGGTCACCTTCAGGAGTAGCCATTGCTCTTAATTGCTAAGGTAGCTCTCTAGCCCCTTTAAAGGGACCCAGTACAGATTCCCATCATGTCCCCAGGTCTGCCCCTCACCCTTCCCTCCTCACCTTAATATCTCCTCAGACCTGGGACCCAGGCACCCACCCCCTTCCTAAATCATTGTTTAACCCAAAGGGGCAGCAGATGCTGAAGGGTCAGTGTTCCCTTCCACACTAAGCTGCTGAAAGCTGCAGGCCATCAGGGGACTGCCTTTGAGGATCCCAAAGTTTCTAACATGACTTTAAGGTATGAGGCTATGACAAATGTCAAAACGTCACCAAAAGAACAGAGCAAAGCAGACAGCACTCTGTTGGGGGCTTACCTGAATGAACAGTGTGAACACTGGAGTGCTGGCCAGGTGGGCACACTCTAACTGCATCCTGATGATGTCCGCTGGCAGACAAGGGCGTATGTGGAAAATGACTCTAGCTGTTTAGTTCCCCTCCCAGAGATCCCCACGACAGTGTGGGGCAGAGCAGCCTGGAAGCTCCATGCTACCACCAAATGGCAGCTGGCAGAACCTCCTGGGTCCTCTCACTACACACAGAACCCCAAATCCAGCTGCCCTTGGCTGGACAAGGGCAGAGAGGGAAGGGTGCCAATGGTTCATTCTCAAACCCTTCCGGGACAGGTGCATCTGCCCTTCACGGAGCAGCTAACCCTCCTAAGGACCCTGATGAGGCTGCTCCAGAGAGATCACCGTGCTGTCCCACCCCAGCTCCAGGAGGCTCCCAAAGGAGCCCTGGATGGTACCTTGAGTCTGCGCTGCTGCCAGTCTCCGCGGAGCTTGTGTGCAGGGTAGGGTGATGTCCCCCACCCAGGGTATCACAGCCAGCAGAAGCCTGTGCTTGAGAAGCCTCCGGTGCAGGGCCTGTCTCTTGCGCCGCTGCCTATTCTGGAAGGTTCCACGCCACAGCCGCTGTAGACAGGGCTCAATCGTGCTGTCACCAGGGCCAGGCCCTGGAGGTAAGTTAGGCAGGGGTGGCTTCCTCAGTCTCTCCTTCACCAGGGTATGGCTCTGGGTGGCTGGGCGGCTCCTGAGCACCTTCAGCACTGTCTCTAAGGGCACCTTCAGTACATGCTGCAGACCAAGAAACCCTGTGAGGCTGGTGAGCAGGACCCTGGTGCAGGCCTCCATGTGTGCTGCACAGGCACCTCCTTGCCTAGACCCCAAAGCACATGCCAAAGGCACCACCGGCTCTCTGGGGAAGTCCCCAGTATGTGGTCCTCAGGTGGGGCCTGGCCCAGCTACCTCTAAGAGATGTTTTGGCCCACATGGCAGGTGATATGGCAGATGAGCTCTGCCCTACTGCCGGGCTCTGAATGCACGGTCCCTCCCGTGACCTCCAGATAAGACCAGCCTGTGCAGCCTACAAGGCTATTCCAGCTATTGCCAGAGCTGCATCTGGTCCAGGGCCTCAACCCTGAGATCAGAGAGGGACAGGCAGGTGGATATGACCAAGCCAGACTGAGTAGAGAGAACCCTGCACAGCGCTGGGGACTCAGGATAGTTGGGGGTGAGGACTGCTTCTCTCTTGCACACATTTTAGGGTGCCCTGAGCCCCACCTTGCAGGATGGATCCTCTACACTTGCTGGGTGAGTGTCTGACAAGTGTAGGTCCTGGGCACCTCTTGGGACAGTGCTGTGAGTTTCATAGGGCACTTGTGCCTGGATCACCGCATCAAGAGCTGAGGCGGTGGTGGAAACTGCCTTTTGGTGACTGTGGGTGGTATCAGACCCATCAGGAGGGCAGGAGGAAGCAGCAGGGTGTTCTGGGTAGCACCCTGCCCCTTGTCTCTGTGGTAAGCTGGTGCTCTGCCTTGTAGGAACCCACAGGTCAATGTGTGGCACTGTGTACTGTGGGGGCAGCAGCACTCTGCCACCCTCCAGAGGCTCTGCCTCCGAGTCCTCGCTGCTGCTGCTGCTGCTGCTGTAGCCATCACTTCCGCTGTTACTGCTGCTGCTGCTGGAGCTCCACTGACTGCTAGGTCGGGGCCTCCGTCCCCTCCTCCTCGGGAGACAGCGCTTCTTCTGAGGGGAGGAAAGGGCTCCTTGAGGCCTCAGATGCCCAGGTATGACAGTAACAGGCCAGCAGGCCAGCCGTTAAGGAAAGGTCCTAAGCAGGAACACCTCTAGGAGCAGAGGGTTGCTGCTGCTGCTGTGGCAAGCGCCAGCCTTGGCCTCCTGAAAAGCACAAGGGCCAGAACCTGTACACTGCCCTCCCTGCCCCACCAGCAGCACTTCCTCATCCTGCTCAAGGCCTCCCGCAGATGATGAACCCCCAGACTAAGCTCCAGCCAAGCACAGACACAGAAAGCAAACAGGCCTCACCCTGACCAAGATTTTCCACTTGCTCAGACACTGGGAGCCTGATCGGTGGGGAAGTTCAGAGGCGATTCTGGCCCAATGACCTACAAACACAACCAACCACACAAAGTGCTTCATGCAACAGCATGACAACAGGAACTCACCAGCTTGGGAACTGCCTACAGCCTCCAGGATCAAGGCAGGGCCATCAGTATAAGTTTTCCTTATACCCTAACGCACTGGCCAGCTTTCACCAGTGCCAGAGTACCCACATTTGGCAGCACTTGATTCTCAATGCTGATGGGTCTTTCAAGGAAATTCGCACACAGAGCAGGAGGGGAGGTCACCCCAGGCTTTACACCCAGCCCTGTGTATCTGCTGCATTCAGGCTCAACAGACACTGTGATGCTTTGTGTTCCAGTGCTGCAGAGGGACACCTGTACATCGTTTATGAAGCAATGCGATGTCAGGGGACAAGACCCTTCGTACTGGCACGTCCTCGAACCACAGTTAGCGTTATTCTAAGGAGGTGTCACCATACCACCGAGATTTTGTATAAACGCCCAGCTCATTCCAACCCTGTAGTAAAAACTGGGAGATACCATAAATGTTGGTCACAAGAGCGGACAGACAGCCCGGGGCTCGTCTATGTGGAAATGTCAGTGGCCACTGAAGCTGGAGTAGCAGGATCAGAAGACTTGTGAAGGGTGATCAGCTGGATCAGTGTTGGGTGAAAAGCAATGGGTGACACAATGACATAATTGTGTGTATGAGCATGTGTGCAGGTGAACATGTGTGCACATGCATGTGGAGGCCAGAGACCAACCTTAAATACTATTCCTCAGGGGCTGTCCATCTTGGGTTTAAAAAAAAAAAAAAATCAGGCCGGGCACAGTGGCGCATGCCTTTAATCCCAGCACTTGGGAGGCAGAGACAGGCAGATCTCTATGAGTTCAAGGCCAGCCTGGTCTATAGGGCAGCTGGAGCTACAGGGAGACCATCTCAAAAAGACCAAAAAAAAATATATATATATATACATATGTATTTATGCATATGTGTGTCTGTGTATACGGATGCCACATGTGTACAGGTGCTCTCTTCTGTGTGAGGCCAGAAGAGGTCAAATCCTATGAAACTAGAGTTACAGGTAACTGTGAGCCACCTGATTGGGATGCTGGGAACCAAACCGGGGTCATCCAGTGCTGGGATTACAAGTGCTGTGGGCTCTGGGATCTGAACCCAGGCCTTCATATCTGTATGGCCAGAACTTTATCAGCTGATCTCCCCAGCCCTGATACAATTTTTAAAAAGTCATCTTTTGTGGGGCATGGAGGCACAGGCCTTTAATCCCAGCATTGGGAGGTAGAGGTTGGCAGATCTCTGTGAGTTCGAGGCCAGCCTGGTCTACACAGTGAGAGCCAGGCCAGCTGGGGCTAGAGAGAGACCGTGTCTCAAAAAACAAACAAATGAGCATTTGCCCTGGGGAAGATCCACCACCATCAAGCAAGACAGCGAGAGCTGAGCCTCCAGCATTCAGGGAGCTCAAAGCCAGCAAAGGCAGGAAACAGAAGCCTCCACGACTCACCAACGCCATATTTTTCTATTAATTCAATCAGCTGCTCCTCCTCTTTTGCATTCCATCTTCCCTTCTTCAAGCTGAAATGTAATCTTCTGATGTAGCTGAAAGTGATGTGGAAATGGAGACATTTTAGATGCTAAGACCCCTAACCACTTGCCTGTCTTTTCCAATGATTTCTTAGATACAACAATAAGAGTTTAAGAAAAATAAAGATATGCTGCACTTCACCAAAAAGCGCTCATGCTTTGCCGGGCATGGTGGCCCCTGTCTTTTTTTTTTTTTTTTTTTTTTTTTTTTTTGCCTTTTTGAGACAGGGTCTCCCTGTAGCTCCAGCTGTCCTGGAACTCACTTTGTAGACCAGGGTGGCCTTGAACTCACAGAGATCCGCCTGCCTCTGCCTCCCGAGTGCTGGGGCTAAAGGTATGATGGCCATGTAATCAATCCCAGCACTAGGGAGGCAATGGCAGGCAGAGCTCTGTGAATTCAAGGCCAGCTAGGGTTACATAGTGAGACCCTGTTTCAAAAACAAATAAAAAGACAGTTTATACTTCAAGGGGCCCCGTCGAGATAGTGGAGACAAGTCACACACAAGAACATGTGCAATCGGACCTGACAAGGACGTGTATCATCTGGAAGACTAAGGATCACTTGCCAGCCAGTAATACAAAGTCAAAGTCATTTCAAAACAGGCAAAGGATTTGAATAGACATTTCTATAAAGACATGCACACATGTAAGCGGCCATGAGGCTCAACAGGTAGCCATGAAGGGCTTCTGTGAGAGTCCGTGCCACAGTCACTCAGAAGGCACAAGCAGACAGACGACAGGAAGGGAAGATGTGAGAGCTCGAAGCCTCACACCTGCCTGTCAGAACACAAAACGGTGCAGGAAGTCGGCAGGTCCTGAAAGGCTGAACAGAGTTCCTTCTGACCAGGGTACTCCTGAGAGAAACAAGCACCTCTGAAAATCCTTGTTCAGGCATTCAATGTCTGTGCAGGCTCTACTGAACTTACAGAAACAGCAGCTATCAGAATGTTCTGTCCTTAAAAGGCCAGGACTCCTCATGAACACCCCAAGCTTTAAAAAAAATGTACTTAGCACTGGGTATGGTAGCACACACCTTTAGTCCTAGGCATTGGGAGCCAGAGGCAGGTGGATTTCTGTGAGATTGAGGCAACCTGGTCCACAAAGTGACTTCCAGGTGGGCTGGGACTAGGGAGACTCTATCAAAAATCTTTTTTTTATTTACTTTTATTTTATGCGTACGAGCGTATTGCCTGCATGTGTGTAAGTGCACCTGTGTCGTGCAATGGCCACAGAGGTCACAGAAGGCATCAGATTCCCCTGAACTGGAGTTACGTACAGTTGTTAGCTGCCATGTGGGTGCTGGGAACCAAGCCTGGGTCCTCTGCAAGAACAGCCAGTGCTCTTAACCACTGAACCATCTCTCCAGCCCCATCCTCCACCTTTTTGAGATAGGGTCTCACTATGTAGCCCTGGCTGGCCTGAAACTCGCTAAGTAGATCAGGCTGGCCTCACACTCTCAGGAGTTAACCATGCCTATCTCACTCCACACTGTCTTATCCACAATAAGCCACGCTGCTGTGACCCTTTGCATCCAGCTCTCCTGGGTCTCACACTCACAAACTCTCAGCACAACACTGCCTCACATTTTGAGAGCTGGCCACACTGTTATCCCCAGAGACAGTGTTACTGGGCATTCCCACTGAAGTCTGTTCCCCCCTCTCCTAACACATTATTTTGCTGCCCCGCCCCCTTTATTTTTTAAACAGTCACACCAATGTGTGTGAAATATTTCACTGTGGTTTTGACTGGTGTTTATGAAATTAGTGACTTTGAGTATCTTTTTGTGGGCTTACTGGCGATTTGTGCATCTTGGAAGACAAGTCTGTTGACCTTTGCCTGTTGTGAATGGGGTTCTGTAGGGTTAAGTTTAGTGTAGATTCTTTTTGGGGTGACCAAAATAGTTTACGTTAACAAGATAAGCGAAATACATCTCAATAAACTACTGAAAGAAACGAGAAAGAAAAGGAGGAAAGGACTTCCGCTGCCTCGGGGACCCTCCTGCCAGCGGTGCGGGAGGACACAGGGAAGGGTCGGGACGTCTGCCCACCAGGGGCCAGAATCTTATTTCTGATGGACAAGAGAAACTTGAAGGTCTGAGTTGGGAAAAACAACTTATTCTGCCTCCTAGTAGGGTCAACCCCAGCCCACAAAGGTCCCTTGGGCCACACCCTCCCATGGAGACAGTACATCCCTCTGTGGCCACCGTCACCTAGCCTGCCCTAGGCCCACAGAAGCGAGACCCAAGCAAGTCACTCCCTCAGCCAGTGCGTGCAACTCACCGGTCTCTGCACTGGGCATCGCTCCTACCTGGCACCTCTTCCCGGATTTTAAACCAGTCCTGTGCCCCATACTTGGCGACAGCCTGAAGCAACTTCTGCAGGAAAGGAAAAGCAGATGATACCTCCTTGGGCACAGCCGTAACCTCCCCACCAGAGGTCTCTCAGCGTAGGAAGGCACAGCAGTCACTTAGGACAGCCTGGTAAGCTTCTTGGGTGCAGTCTTCCGTGGGTCCCAAACTTACAGCATCTTCTTCTGGGGTCCAAAACCCCTTTTTCAGGCTGGGGTCCAAGCTCTTGGTCCACCGGTAGATCAGCTGCATGGAGTCTCTCCCTTCCATGAAGTAGACAACTGGGGAAGAGGGGGTAGAGACTCAGATACTCATGCCATGCAGGTGACAGCTAGGGACAGAGAGGCTGCCCAGAGGAGCTATACTGGGAAGACTGGACAGCAGGACACTCGTTTGTTCAGTCCCTTCACTCCTCCTCCCCGCCTCCTCCTAGCTCTTCCCAGCACAACTGTGAACTATTCTGCAAGCCTCTGCTTCTAGGAATGTGGGGCCTTAGGCCACTAGGGCTTGGGGCAGTCCAAGGAACTGAAGGACTGGTGTGGGTGTGGTGGCTCACTCTTGCGGTACGGAATGTGACTGCCAACACGCATCTCCTGGACCAGCTGGGTTAGCACCCGGTCCTCATCCTCTGTCCACTCTCTGCGTCTCAGGGCCTTGTTGTACTGCTGGAACTTCTGCAGGCACTGGAAGGCACTGCGACGGGTCTTCCCGAGACCAAACGAAAGCAAACAGCATTACTGGACTTTGTCATGCACCCACAGAGACACCCAGACCAGCCTCTAAGTGTTCCAGGGGACAGGTGAGCCTGAGGGTCACAGGTAGCACTTTGTACAACAGAGCTCTTCTCATCTAGGTTCCTGTGGATGACAGCATGCCACACCACGGTAGGGACATAGGACGAGAGCAGCCAGAGAAGGCTCTATGGCTTATAGAAAGGAAACTTGGCACTAGCCAAGTGTGTTGCTAATCCCAGCATTTAGGAAGCAGGGCCTGGGGAGTGCCATGAGATTGAGATGAATGTAAACCATATTGTGAACTCCAGGCCAGCCTGGACTACAGAGTGAAACCCTGTCTTAAAAATAAGCAAGCTGCCAGGTGTGGTGGACACATGCCTTTAATCCCAGCACTTGGGAGGCAGAGGCAGGTGGATCTCTGTGAGTTCGAAGCCAGCCTGGTCTACATAGCGAGTTCCAGGCCAGCTGGGGCTACAGGGAGACCCTGTCTCAAAAAAAAACAACAACAGAAAACCAAAAAAACCCAAAACCCTAAGCAAGCAAAAAAATCCTTCAAATCCTTCTACCTCTATCCTCTCAAAACAAACAAGAAAAATCTTTTGACAGCTAACTCAGATGATATCCAAACCACACTGCCAATTCTCACAGGGACGGAAGGAAATTCCAGGCTTAGCAAATGCTGTGGACATGTGGCGCCTCACGCCAAGTGCCTCTCCAAGCCTCTTGCAGGCACTATCACAAGCTCTCAAGAGCTTTCAGTGAGGACAGCCACAAGGCAGGGATGTGGGATAATCCTGTGTGACACCCTCAGAAAGGAGCATCCAGCCATAAGCCTACAGCCACATGGTACTATTGCTGCACCTGCCTCACTTGCCCTTATGGAAAGGGCTTTTCTAGTAGTCACATATCAATTCCAAACCCAGCCCTCCAGTCAGAGAATTCTGGGGCTGCATGTGTGGCAGGTCTCAGCTGTGGTCTGCTTCTAGGCCATTCTTCCCACCAAACACAAAGAAGCAAAGAAATGCAGTAAAAACTGACATGTTCACCAGACAAGGAATTTAAAGCTAAAGAGACCATGAAAGACCAATGACTTTTTGAGAAAGGGTCTCCTGTAGCCCCAGCTGGCCTGGAGCTCGCTATGTAGACTAGGCTGGCCTGAAGCTCATTATGTAGACCAGGCTGGCCTGAAGCTCACTATGTAGACCAGGCTGGCCTGGTGCTTGCTATGTAGACTAGGCTGGCCTGAAGCTCATTATGTAGACCAGGCTGGTCTGGAGCTCACCATGCAGACCAGGCTGGCCTGGAGCTCACTATGTAGACCAGGCTGGCCTGGAACTCAATGAAATCATAGTTATATGTACCAAACTATGCAACAGCTATGTGTGAGAGGCAAATGCTCTTTGAGCTCTATCCCCACTCAGAGGTACAAGGCTGAGGGATTAAGTCAGGCATAAGCCTGGGCCCTCCAGCCCTCAAGGTCTTGTCTAGTTCTTACCCCTAGCTCCTCTGCGACCAGGTGCCACTCCAGGTGGCCGTGTGCGGCGGCAATGGCTCTCAGCTGCTCCACCTCCTCTGCACCCCATTCCTGCTTGTTGATGCTCGGGTGCTCAGAACTCTGCCAGAACTTCCGGATCTCTTCTGCACTACGGCCTCCTTCAAACTGACCATGGGAAACACAGCCTTCAAGGCTGCTGATGCCAAGCACACCAAAGACATAGCTCCTGACTGGGTGTCACTTTCTGCCAGCCAGTGGTACCCGTGGCCATGAGTGGAATCCCTTGGGGGCTAGAGAGCTGGCTCAGCGGTTAAGAGCACTGGCCGTTCTTGCAGAGGACCTGGATTCGATTCCCAGCACCCACATGGTAGCTATGAACTGTCCTTAGGGCCAGTTTTAGGGGAATCCGGAGCCCTCTTCTGACCTCCAAGGCACTGCACGACATGGGTACACTCACATACATGCAGGAAATACACTCATACACACAAAATAAAAATTAAAAAAAAAATAACAAAAAACATCAGGAGTGGTGGCTCAGGCAGAGGCAGGTGGAGCTTGAGTTCAAGGCCAGCCTGGTCTACATAGTGAGTTCCAGCTGGGGCTACAGGGAGACCCTGTCTCAAAAAGAGAGGGGAAAAAAAAAAAAGTAGAATCCCTTATGCAGCTAAAAATGCAGATTTGGCTCTAAACACAAAAGGCATAGAGGACTGCCTATCTCAGAGGAGGGAGCTCAGTATGGATGTGTATGAGGGTGTCCTGTGCAGCCTTTGCCAATCCTGATTGCTAGGCACACTTGTTTGACTGGAGGGGCTACAGGGGTCAGGCCGAGAGGGAAGGTGAGGCCCTGCCACCCGGCCCCACCCACCCTGGCTGAGCAGCACTGCTGCAGGTGGATGCCCCGACTCACACTGACGTTGGCAATTTTCTCCCAGTCATGGCTGTCCAGCCTGTTCCCCAGCAAAGCTTCCTCTGGGAGACAGCTGGAGGAAAGGAGAGGGTGTTGGTCTTACGCCAGGCCCGCTGGCTGTCCCGTGCACCCCCAGAAAGCCCTGGCTTACTTGATGTCTTGGATCTCCTTCTCGGCTTCCCTGACCTGCCTCTCCAGGGCCTGCCTCTCTGACTCACTGGAGACTCGGCTCTGTTTCTGCTGTAAGTACTCAAGTCTGCGAGGAGGAAGAGCAGGAGCGTCAGCGGAGGCGCTGGTTCGGAGCTGCTGTTGTGCAGGTCTCATGCACAGTAGAAGCCCATGAGAACCCGGTCTCTCCTCGGGTCTGCCTCAGTTCCTCACCACATGAGAACCCGGCTTCTCCTCTGCCTCGGTTCCTCACCACAGAGGAAGCCCTGATGCCACCTCTGGGGCACGCTGAGGATCAGAACAGCACTATCCAGGGCAGAAGCTTGCAGCGGTTTACAGGGGCAGGTGGTAGCTGCCTGTTGTTTGCATCTCAGAACCTCTCAAATCCCAGCCTCCAGGACACTTGCAGGCAGCCTTTTAGCTCTGCAGCCACTGCTGCAGTAAGCACCCTCTCTCAGAACTGGCTGGGAGAGAAGAGCTGGCTCTCCCACAGCTTCAGGAAGAACTGCCATCACCACCATCAATCCTGAGCACACAGAAGCCGAGAGTGGCTGACAGAAGCCTGGTACCCTCTAGTCCAGCTCTAGACTTCTTGGTGCCCAGAGACACATCTGCCCTGGTTACTCCAGCCCTACATCCTCATCATGTGGTGGTGATGGCACAGAGGGTATGGCTCCTCGGGCACTGCTGACGCCCAGATCCAGGGGTCGTTTGTCTGCAGCAATTTAGCAATATAACAGTATCCCCCTTCTGAGCACTGCAGCTGGTACTGCATGATGCCCTCTGGTCATCTGATGTACAACCATTAACAAACCCACAAAGTAGGCTTCACAGACAGGCCCAGAAACTCAGGGAAGAGAATCTGAGAAACTGCCTGAGGCACACACCAAAACACAGCTGCTTCGTCTGACGGCCACACTCACACACTCGGCCACAATGCTAGGCCACTTCTTCAGAGGAGGGTAAAGGGCAAGCAGTGACATCTCAGGGCTAGATGGGCAGCAGCCAAGCACAGAGTACGCCACACGAAACCTCACCAGCTCAACCCCCAGCTCAGTTGTGGGGAAGGCCATGCTGAAATGTTTTCAGACTTACTTCAGCAACTTGGGCTGAAGCAGACGCTGTAGACGGTCGCTCACCACAGACTTCCTGAGCAACGCTTTCTCCCAGTGTTTCCCTGAGAAAGAACAAGTGATGTCACAAGGCCTTACCTGCTCTCCACACACCTGTCCACCGAATGCTCTTCACAACCCTGGCCATCTCTGGCTCCCTGCTCCAGAGAAGGTGGTGGCTACAGCTCTGAATGCCAGCTGGGCAGTCAGCCAGGACCCCATACAGCCCATAATGCTACCCTCCACCTGAAGCCCGGCTTAGGGCAGAGGCTTCCAGGGCTAGATTTTCTAAGAGCAACTGGGAGGTGGGAAGGGGTAAATGTGAGGCCCAGCCTGCACCCCTCTCCGCATGGGAAAAGCAAGTGATCAAGTGGCCAGTCCCAGTGATCAAGGACTGCAGGACCCTACGAGGCCGCAGGAGAGACAGGTCTGAGAACTGCAGGTGAGCGCCCACCCAAAAGGCAGCCAGGCTCTTACACTTGGTCACCAGGAGCTCTTCAAAGGCCTTGATTCCCTGGGCAGCCTTTTCTCGTGTATCTTCATTGGCAGGGGGCCCCTGTCAAAGTGTGCATCAGCATGTAGCAGCCCAACCAGTCACCCCCAGGAGCCCCACTGGGACCCAGAATCTCTCCTCCCAGCTTCCTCATGCGCCGCCCACATTAAGGGTCAGGCTGAAATCCTCTGTACTGCCACCTGCTGCAGTGTGAACAGTTTGGACATAACTCACCAGCACAGTGAGGTAGTCAGCAACTCCACGAGGCTGATGGGCACACAAGGCCATCAACATCAGATCTACACTACAAGGACTTGCTACCTGTCATGATTCTACCTCAGGGAAACACACCCCAGTGGGCGCTGTCATCCAGAGGCCTTAGCTTTCACCACAACATGAGGCAGAGTTTTAAGGAAGACGGAGAATGTTAACTCAAAAGGCCCAGGGAACTCCTGAAAACTCACAGGCTGTAGGGTGAGAGCCCCTTTCCCCAGGGCACCGAACCTGCTTCTGAGGGAGTCTTTATCACTCACCACTCCAGTGACCTTGTCCTTGAAATATGGCTTCATGAAGTGGCCGATGTACATGTTTGAGGGCAGGCTTTTACCATCCTTCACCTTGGGGCATTTGGCTCCAGCCAGATCAAACAGGAGCTCCTCCTGGGACGGAAGCAAGGTCATCACTGGGCCAGGTAGGGCAAGAGGGCAGGTGGTACTCTGAGCCCTGTCCTGGAAACCTGGGCTACAAGGCCCTTAGGGTCCGGAGGGACTGTCCGAGGCCCTGAACAGGCCATCTACCTGCTGCTCCTGGTTCTCGGCTAGCAGCTGGCTGATCTCTGCCAGTTTCTCCAGGATGACCTCCTGATAGACCATGTTCAGCTGCAGACAGGTCTCAGGGTCTTCCGGGAGGGCTCTGTCCTTGGGGTCCTCCTCATCATTGCTGGCCTCGCCCCATCTTCCTTCCTGATTAAGAAGCAGCAAATGAGGAGAGGGGATGTAGGGCACCCTCCCATTTGCTGTCTAGTCTAAGCCCACAAGTGACACCGAAAGCACTGCATATGTAGCCAAGAGCTAACCCTACTGGGGGGAAGGCTGAGCTATGCTTGGGAGCAGAGACCATCACCCTGTAGCTAGAGGGTACACACATTTTCTGAGCAACTGGAGATCTGCTTGTAGGAGTATGCTGGGGCTGGGGTTGGTACCCAGTAGCAAGCAGCCTCCACTTTTACAACATCTCTGTGAATTGGGGCTTCACAGCAAGTTTGCTGTATCCCATCCCCAGCACCTCATGAGCCAGACCTTGGTAAGGAAATTCCCTGCACAGCCATGAGATCAAGAGCTGGACACGGCAAATGCTCTGTCAGTCTACTAAGGAGCCTGCAGTCTTAAACACTAAGGGACTCTGCTCCTGTTCACTTGGTAAAAAAATAAGCTGTAAAGGTTTCCCAAAACAAAACTCCAAAAACAAACAAAACCTGGTTAGCAACAACTGGTGTGACTTACTGCCAAATATTTCTCTAATCATCATGCTGACCTGTGCCTAAATTATCTCCACTGTCCAGACTGGGAAAGTGAGGCACAGGTGAGCTATAGGGCAGGCACAGGCACATGGTATGCTGCCTCCCACACCTCGTGTTGCACATAAGCATATTAATGTGAGCTCAGGAAAAGACAGCAGTTGTAGTCATTAACCTGCTAACAGTGGTTATCTTCAGTGGATAATTTTATTTTTGATAATAATTTGTCAGCTGGGGCACAAGTCCGAGGAAGAATGTTTGCCTAGTGTGAATGAGGTCCCAGGTTCCATCCCCAGCACCCAAAACCAAGGAAATACTTTGTGATGCCTCATTCTTATAAAAAACATGCATTACATATAACAGAAAATCAATAGGGGTGCAGACCAAGCCCTCCTGAGCTAGTCTAGAAGGGATCAGCACATGGCCCAGCAGCCCCACAGGTGAGCGACAGTTACCAAGACGGGAACATCAGCAGTTTCCAAGTCCTCATGGGGCAGCGAATCTGTCGGAAACATAAGCATACTGTGATAAAGACCAGGTTGCAGAGAAGGGGTGAGCCCCCACAACAGGGTCTCACAGGAGGGCTAGCTAATAAGCCCAGGGAAGAGATCCTGGGGGTCTGAGCCATGGAGAATACTCAGGCTGACAGGCTGAATTCTGGGCTCTCCCCTCCCCCCCAGGATACCATCCTTGTCCAGAGAGAAGGCCCTAGGCCAGATGGCAGCAGAGGCAGAGTATGCATGGACAGCCAGCAGGTCCCAGAGTTAATGACCAAGGGACTGGAACCAACTTTCTGACTGGGGTAAAGGCAGAGGGGACTTTGAGCAGGAAACAGTCTGGCCACACAGAATCCCATAGCCCAATATGGCTAAAGGGGAACCCAAGGGTACACGCGGTCGCTTCGGCCCTACCACAAGGAGCTAGGCCTGGGCTCACCTGCTTCAGAGTCTGAACCGAGACTGGATTCAGAGACCTCCAAGTGGACACCAGAGGAACCAGGGTATAAAATCCTTTCTAGCTCCTGGATCTCCTGTGTTATCTTCTCTCTCTCAGCATCTATGTCCATGACTCCAACCTGTTCCATGAAATATGAGATGTTACGAACGGACAGTGCCCAGAGAATACACACACACACACACACACACACACACACACACTCTCACCTGTTAGAGACAGCAGGAGCCTGTCAGAAGCGGATGCTGGGTTCCCAAGATGGAGCTTTGTTTGCTCCTGATCTAGCTCCTCAGAACAACACCAGATACACAGTAGTGCCTGACCCTGACTATCTGTCAAAAAGGTAAGAGGCTTTTTTCTTGGGAAACAGTCTGAGGGAGAAAGTTAAAGAAAACAAGCAGGGCTGGGGAGATGGCAGTTAAGAGTACTGGCTACTCTTGCAGAGGACCCACACCCACATGCTGGCTAACAGTTGCCCATAACTCCAGTTCCAGGGGATCCAACGCCCTCTTCTGACCCCCACAGGCATTGCATGACAACATGGTGCACTTACATACATGCAGGCAATATACTCATACACATAAAAAAAATACAATTTTTCTTAAAAAAGAAAACAATCTCAAGTGGGAAAGCTGGCTCGGTGGGCAGAGGTGCTTTAACCAATAACCTGAGTTCAATCCCCAGGACCCACATGGTGGGAGAACTGACTTCCTCATCTTCCCGATTTTCACACCTGCACCATGACAGCACACCATGTTATGTGCATGCCTACGCACACATAATATATGTAATAACAATACTAGCTCACACTCGAGGACTGGAAAGGAAGAGAAATACCCTCTCCTGTTCTTGGCTCTGCATCTCAAAGTGAGACGCTGATAGAAGTTCTGACAGACTGCAACATAACAGGGCAACCCTTGCTGGGTGTGGGGGTACAAGCCTTTAATCCCAGCACTGGGAAGACAGAGACCAATGGATCTCTTTGAGTATGAGGCCAGCTTGGTCTATATAGTGAGTTCCAGGCCAGCCAGGGCAAGTGAAACTCTGTCTCAAAAAAACAAAAGACAAAAACAAACCAAAAAAACCACCCCCCAGAATACAAAGCAAACCCCTTCTGAGAAAGCATTCTTATGCAGGGAACATTTGTGAACCAAGCTTGCTAGAAGCAGCCAGATCTGCAACAACCACTGGTGGGTGGGTTCAACGTTGCCACCCCGCCAGACACAACAGGGACCAGCTGTCTTCTGGTCACCTGGTCTCCAATGAAAAGGCAACGTGTGCAAAGAAGCAGTAGTGTCCATCTCCCCTCACCGCACTGCCCAGGTGAAGGAAGAAAGTCAAAGTCACACGTTCAAATCCCGAGCCGGGAGTCACATGCCACCTTCCCTGCCTATCCTTCCTAACCATAACCAGGCTCCGATGAAAGCGGCTGGGCCCAGGGCAACCCTCTCCAGCCCTACATTCCCCTCGGAGCTGGACCCAATCAACCCGGGGGAGCCGCTGGTGCAGCGAGAGTGGACCTGGGAAGGGCAGAGTTAGGCTCAAGGCTGTGCAAACCCGACCTTGCGTGTTGCTAACTGCGGGACCTCAGCTGGGTCCGCGCTCCGGGAGAACCAGCTGCCCCGGGGTCCAGGCCCGGCCCGGCTGCGGGAGAACCGGCTGCTTCGGAGTCCAGGCCCGGCCCGGCTGCGGGCTCTCCGCACCAGAACGTCTCGGCCTCGCGGGCCTCAGTTTCCCCGCCCGGTCGCCCAGCTCCTCCCGGACACATCGCCTCTGGGCCGCCGCCCAGCGGGTTCTCACCGGCCAGGTCGCCCCACATGCGCCGAGGTCTCCTCCGTCGCCCTGGCGACACAGACAGCGCGCTTCCGGCGGCCCGGAACTCAGCACCGGAAATCCCGCCCCTTCGGCGGTGCGGGGCACGCTGGGACGGCCGCTGGAGGGCGGTGCCCTAGAGAGGCGCTCTGGACCTTGTGCAGGGTAGGCGGTGCCAGTATGAAGGCGCTGTCAATTGGTCTAGTGCTTTCCAGGCTGCAGCGTTCCTAGAGCCCGAACCCAGGGACTTCCTCACTGTATTCATCCATCCGTGCATCCGTGCATCCAGGAACATTCTGCCTTGCCAGCATCAGAGGCCATGCCATCTCAGGGCTGGCTGGAGAGTTGGGGGTGGTCTTCCCAGGGTCTGACGTATGCAGGGGTTGGGGGTGGGGGAATGGGGTAGTGGTTGTGGCTTGGGACACAAAACTGATGTCCCTGGCTCTGTAACTTGGTAGCTGCAGAGCCCCACAATGCCGTGGCTTTTGGGAGAAGAGGGCAGGAGCCACCTCAGTAGTTACTGCGGTAGGGACAGAGTGCCAGTGTGGTGAGCCAATGAGGTGGGGCTTTTGGTGGCAAGGAAATAACAGTCATGTGAGGCCTGGCCCAGAGTTTGAGATTGGTGAGGAGTCCCAGAACATGCAAACAGACCTGTTGATTCCCGGGGTGCAGGTATTTCATGTCTGTTGTTCAGGGCAAGCCTGGTGCAAACTGCTATACAGATGTCACCATGGTACTTGTAAAATTTTAATCTAGGGACACTTCAAACAGAAGCAAAGAACATGGTGTACAAGCAGATGTACAGGGACTTAACAGTGGCGGGAGCAAGCTGGAGTCAGCATTCAGGGCAGGTGCAAACGAGGGCTGCTCAGGTTGGCCACCCTGCCTTAAGCCCTGTGAGTGAACACTAGCCTGGTCTTCTCCCTGCATGTCCCTCCACCCAAGACCTCATCCTGGACTCTCGTGTGCTCTGAACAAGTGACAATGGGGGGGGGGGAATGACACACCTCCACAGTGGCTTCTAGAAAAGCCAGAACTTTACTTGTAGATGAGTCAAAGGGCCTAATAGTTCAAATGACTTTCCTGAAAATCTGATGCTAGCCTTCCATGTATAGAACCTCAAAATGTGCCCTGATCACAATGACTATGTGAGGATTCTTGCAGTATATCCAACACTAGGGGTCAGAACCTGAAGGCTTGCTGGAGAGCTGGCTCAGCAGTTAAGAGGACTGGCTGCTCTTGACCTGGGATGGGTTCCCAGCACCCATATTGTGGCTAACCATCTGTAACTCCAGTTCTGGGGGATCTGATGCCATCTTCTGGCCTCTGCAGGCATTGGACGACACAGGTGCAATTATAAACATGTAGTCAAAACTCATACACATAAAATTTAAAAGATAAAAGTTCTTGAAGGCCTGATAAGCCAGTATGTCAGCAGCAATGCCAAGATGAGCCAAGATGGACCGAGATGCACCAAGCTGGACCAAGCTGCACCACGATGCACCAAGCTGCAGGCCCTGGTGTGAGCAGTGTGGGCCTCAAGCGTGAACCCCTGGGTAAGCCAGAATGACAAGGCGGTACAGATGATCTTCGGGATTTATTTAGACAAGAAAGTTACTAATAATAGGAAGGAAAGAAAAAATTTTAAATCTATAGGAAAATGGCCCGACACGGCATGGCACAGCACAGAGTGCTGGTTGTGCTTTGTCCTTGAAAAAGCGGTTAGAGACAGCCCAGAGACCTGGAGCCAACTCGAAAGGGGTGTGCACTTTAAATTCCCTGTCTTAATTTTACTGTGCAGAAGGCTCCGAGTCACTCACCAAAACTCAGGCAAAAACGGCGTTCCAAAGCTGAAGGCTCACACACGGGTAGGGATGTTTACACAGCTCTGTAATGTGATGTCTGCAACCTCGTTCCCTGTGGTTCTGGTGGGAGGAGAGCAACATCTACCAATGGTGCCTCCTCACTAGGGCTGCTGACCACAGCAGCCACCCTGCGAAGGCCACGACGTGGACTGTCAGCTGGTGAGGCACTGAGCAGCAGCACAAAGGCACAGCAAGTCCCTGTCTGGGCCCCTCACTTCCACACTGGCTCAGTGTTCTGCCTGAGCTTGTCCGACAGCCAGTGTCCGTCACAAAAGCAGTGTCTACAAAGGAGCCATTTTCAGCTTAGTGATTTCTAGAAATCACTGGGTTTTACAAAAATGTCTTCCAGTAGATTAAGTCTATAAAAAGTGCGACTTTCACCCAGGACTGCAGGTAAACCACAAGTGCAGCTCGTGGAAGGGAACCCCTGGATTGCAGGTGGTCAGTAGCACTGCAATAGGCCGTGAAATCAGTATCTCATCATAAAAGCTTTGGTGAGGACTGCATAGCTGAGGGCACGCTCAGATGAAGTGTGGTGATCTCAATGCAGAGGTAGTGGGACCAGCGGCAGCCAGCCGTTCTCAAGAGTCCACTTCATCTTTGACTTCAGTGATTCTGTCAATAGACTTAAGGATTTCAGCAACAAGATTCAGTGTTTCTGCTCCAGACATGAGCTGCCTAAAATGGACACACAGATATTCCAGCTGTTCAAAAGTAGTCACCGACACACAGCAGAGGGGTTCCAGAGAGAAAAGCCTTAAACCCACCAAGGTTCTGGTGTACTAGTTCAACACCATGTCCTCGGGCCTGCAGGCCTGCTGAGTGGCCAGCCGCCCTACAGCAGAACTCAGGCCAGGTGGGGCCACAAGAGGGTGGAAGCAGATGCATTAGCAGAAACTGAAGCTGAACTTGACTTTCCCTAGGCTAGCCAAGCGTGGCACAACACTCCATGATGTGGGCAGCAGCCAGTGCAGCCGCATTCAGGGGAAGGGAACTTCTGAAACCTAGAGCGTGCTGTGCCACTGTTTAGCAAGTCAGAAGTGAACGCACTTTTGATATACAGAATTTTCAGCTTGACAGGTTTACCAGAATGCAGCAGTGGCTGAGTCGGAGTATTTAATCACCATTAGTGACAGCAACTGACAGTGCACAGCACACAGTGCGCTCAACGTACCAAGACTGTGCCACGAGGCTTGAAATGGGGGAAGCTATTATGGTCCCCTTTATTCAGGGCTGCAGTGTCTTGCAGGTGAAGGCACTGGATTCAAGTGCATGTGTCATCCATACCTCCAGGTAGGAAGGTTCTCTGGGACAGTTTGGCTGCCTACAGCATGATGTAGCAGGTTAACAGGACCATCTAACACATTTCCCTTCCTGGTTGTCAAGACTGTAGCACTCAGCCGCTATCCAGAATACCTGGTGGCCAGGCCAGTCTTACCCCTAGCCTGCCGCAAGGCTTCAGTGCCCAAGGACTCACTTTATGGATGCATGTGCACTCTTCATGACAACATGGAGGTTCTGCAAGGCCATGTCAGTATTCTGCTTTACCACAGTAAGGCTGGCGCCCTGGCCTGACCGCAGGGCTTCATTCTCTTGCTTGAAATTGGAGACCTGTGCCTGCGAAGTGGGGTGAGCAGTACAAGGAAACCCAAAGGAAAACCACCACACCTCCCTTGGGGTGGCACAGACTCATCCATGAGGCCTGGCCACACACAACAGGTACATATTGCCCAGGCTAACCTCGGGTTTGTGGCTTATCTTCCTGCCTTAGCCTCCTGAGCGCTAGGATTATAAGCATTCACCACCATGCTTGGCCCACATTTTTGTTTCTAAAAGCAAACACCTCCATCTTTTCTCTACTTACCTGGAGCAAACTTATTTCCTGCTTCAGCTTCATAACGTGATTTTCTGCTTTTACAGCTCGTTTCTGTTGCCCCCAAAATAAAACACAAGATGTATCACCAAGGCTGTCAGTCCAGGACTCTTAGCTGACAGACATCAGTGAGCTACAGCCTCCCATCCTGGCTCCTCTGCCCCTGGAGACCCATCTCTCGGGACCTGGGCTCTGCCTCTGTACACCAACAGCTTTGGGGACCACCCATCTCAAGACCATGCCCTCTGGGCCAAGGAATGCTCGCTCACCACAGAACACATACTCAGCATGGTGAGGGCTGTTGGCCTGACCTCAGGATCCAGCTGTGGACTCTGCAACAGCTGCCAAGAGCCCTGTCTAAGCAGCTAGATGCCCCCCCGCCCCACCCCCCCAAGCTTGCTACCCCAGAACAGAGCCCCTCCCTCATACGGTCATCAGCTCAAGGTTCTGCTCGACTTGCTGGACCACTGACTCCAGGTCGTGGAAGTCACTCTCCTCCTTTGTCATCTTTGCCTCCAGCTTCCGCTCAAGCGTCCTCACCCTCGTGAAGGAAACATGGGGTTGAGCTCTCCAGACTATCAAGATCGTTGTCAACAGCACTTCAGCCTGATGAACTGGGTGAAACCCACTAGAGCCCATGGAGGGAGGTGCCTCAGGCAGCTGTCACTGCCCTGTGCTCCCGGGGGAAGGTACAGACAGGGTCTCAAGAAGCTCAACTCACTTCTGATGCTTTAAAAACCTCTCTCACAGAGCACAAGAAATGTGCCTAACACTTTAGGCTTATGGACAACAGCACCCATGCTCAACTCAACCCTGGTACTTCATCTCCCCTGGAAACCAACTTCCCTGAGTGACAGAGGAGGAGCTGAGGTGACACCTAACTACCATTTTACATACATTTCTGTTTGAGTTTCAGAGAAGCTCTGAATCTCATTCAGCTTTCTTCTGAGCTTAGTATTTTCATCTTTCAGCTGCAGAGAAAGAAAACCTTTATTAGAAATCCAAGAGGTCTCACCCACAGGCAGTACCTAATTCTGTTCTGGAATGTTCTCTTTGTGGGGCTGGAGGGGGAACACAGGGCCTCATGCATGCTAGGCAAAGCTGTGCTGCTGAGCCATAGCCCAGCTGACAATGGAGCTTCTTTTTTGAAACAGGATCTCACTATGTAGGCCTGGCTGGCCTGGATTTCGGTATGTAGACCAGGCTGGCCTTGAACTCAGAGACCCACCTGAGTGCTGTGATTAATGGAGTGAACCACCACAATCTGCTTTTTTTTTTTTAATTTTTTAAATTTTAATTAATTTTTAAAATTTATTATTTTGTTTTATGCATATGCATGTATCGCCTGCATGTAGTTAAGTGCACCCATGTCGTGCAATGCCCGCAGAAGACTGAAGAGGCTGTTGGATCCCCTGGGACTGGAGTTATGGGCAGTTGTTAGGTGCCATGTGGGTGTTGGGATTTGAACCCGGGTCTTCTGCAGGAACAACCAGTGTTCTTAACCGCTGAGCCATCTCTCCAGCCCCCACAATCTACTTTTTTATTTT